GCAGCCAGCCTCTGTGCTCCCGATTCCTTATGCAGCATTTACACCTAATCCCTTCCTAGAAACAAAGGCTGGCGCTCCTAGAGCAGCACGCTGATCCAGGGAAGGACAGCTCTTACTGCTCACCAGCCAGGGGAGTTTATTATGCTTGCAAAAAGATTGCATGTACGCTATAGTGAACGGATTACTAACAGTTCAGTCTCATCCCCCGGAGCTGAATATCGCTGCTTGTTGCTATTTCTGGCTAGCAGAGCTCAACAACTGAGCGTGGAGGTTGGTTTCTCACTAGTAGGGGGACTTGTGTCCTGGCCTTCGAGGTGACAGCAAGTGACATCTCTGCCTCCTGGCACAGAGCTGGGCTGGGCCTGCTGCATTCTGCAAAACGTGGTGTTCTGCTGTGCAGCCAGCAAGGCTCCAGCTCTGCACACGGACCACTAAATGTGCAGCACATGGCATCTGGGGCACCAACATCTCCACTGGGGAACCGGCATCTGCACCAGAGCACCAATATCTGCGCATTGGGGCTCCATCATCTGCACTGGCGCTCCAACATGTGTCCCCTTGGCAAAAGGCTGGCCAGGATGGGGCCCTCCCAACACCACCCTCCAGCAGTTGCAGCATTACAGTGAAATTAGCGGGCACTGTAATTATAACTATCAGGAGCAGATAAGACAAGTTAAATACCAGCTACCTGGGGAGAAATTATTATGCCAGCCAGGAGGATCCAAATGCCAGAATCTGTGGCTGTAATTTCACTGAGTCGCCAATTACAGCTCCTACATGCAGCGAGCTCTACCTTGGAAACGGCAGGTATATATTTAGCTGCTCCAGAAAACTTTTGGGGGAGGAGGGGGAGGAAAGGGGCAGCGATGGAGCAAGTCCTCGCTAATCTTCTCCGCACTAATCCCCACGCTTTGAGCATCTGCACACAAAAAGCAGGAGCCTCTTCCCACTTCTCAGCACGGATTTAACAGCGGAGACGTGGCTGTGTTAACGCTCCTGTTCTCCAGGTTGCACGGGAAGTGTCACCACCCCCATCAACGGGTGAGGGAAACTGAGGGCTGGCAGCCAGCAAACCAAACCTACGTGTGAGGGCAATGGAGAAAAGCAAGCAGCCAAGCTGACCTCTCGACTGCCCAGACCCACAGCCCGTGGTCCTGCTGCTTGTATTCTGCTGGGAAACAGACATGCGGTAGATGGTGACCAATAAATAAATAAATAAAGCACAGCAGAAGCAGCAGCGTTGTCAGAAATAATTAAAACTATAATTGCAAAAATAAATGGAGGGAAGGCGTCTCGTGATGTTTTATTCCAGCTTCTTTTTTTTTTTTTCTTTTTTTTGCTGTTGTTGTTTGTAATTGGAATTGTTCTCATACTGGCTAATGGACAAAAGACAGCCAGTCACTGGGGAGCTGGTAAAGCCACACCGTTCTTTTGGTCCTTTTTCTTGATGAGAAATGGGGGAGGTTACAGTGAATGGAAAGGTGGAGGGGGGCTTTGTGGGAAAAAGCCTTCAAATATAGGGAAAAAGCATCTCTGTTATGTGCCTTAGTGGGAAACCCAGATACAGATACCTGCTATTTTTGGTACAGTCAACCAGCTTTCTCTTCTCATTACCTCTGAGAAACAGCCACTACTGCCTCCACCTTACAGATGGGGAAACTGAGGCAGGGAGCAGCCAAGGAACCCCCCCAGGTGCTGATGGCCCTGCAATAACAGCTGAGCACGATGCCCAGTGCACCCATCCATCCCAGTGCTCCCTCCAGGCACTCACACACACTGCCTCTGTCCTTAAAAAAAAAAAAAAAAAAAAAAAAAAAAAAGAGCCAATATTTCTTAAATACAGATAAAACTATAAAGCCTTGAAATTTTGAGCAGCTGTTGTTTTACGTCTTTATGAACTGTACTGATGCCTGTTATAAAAGGTCGATTTGCTGGCAGCACCAGCAATACGACCCAATTTACTATATATCCCTGCTTTTACACCACTTGAATATTTGCCACCGCAGCAGCTCTGCCTGCAGTTCAACCCTGGATTGATGCTGAACTCTGGCAATGGAAAAGATGCTACAAAGTGTGACGCAGGTGTGTTAAAACACACAGCAAGGCTTCAGGCTGGGCTCATCCTTTGGGACAGCACCCCAAAATGCCATCCCAAAGGAGCACACATCCACGCTGAGGCTCTGCTTCCCAAAAGCAGAACTGAATCCGCACCAAATCCCAGCTGGGAAATTAATCCCAACCTCCCTTACTGTTACCAGTGTCTCGCTGTTCCATTCCATGCCCCAAACTGGTGCACAGCTTGGGTTGCTGTTGCCATCCAAACACCTGCCCTGCTTCACAGCAGGCTCTGTATTTTGGAGTCAGAGAGCAGGAAGCTTGATTTTATTTTTAATAGCACACAGAGAATTTGCAAACTGCTGCCAGTTCCCCGGAGAGGAAAGGTGCATGACTATTATGGGAATTGTTTGTTCTTACAATAAAAAAGTAGTGAATTATCAACAGTCTCTGCCTGTGGGGGAAGCGTTTGCTGCTGAGCTAAGATGACCCAGAAGTTGCCTGCAGATGGAGCCTTCGTTTCTGCAAGGATTCTGCTGAGCCTTCTGGGTGGAGAAATGGAGAGGAAGGCACCCAAAATCCAACACAGAAAAACTACACCCAGACTGAAAGGCCTCCACGTTCCCCCATTCATTGCTACCACGCAGCTCTGCTCTCTCTCTCCACTCCCTTCTGCAATGAAATGTGGGTTTCAAGACCTCAGAAAGCAAAGAGCTTCCATCAGCCCTACTGAAGCCAATGGCACTCGGAGGCTCAGCCCTTTGATGTCCCTTCTGGTGTCTGTGCTGGATGGATGTGGCCCTTCCAGACGTGGCAGGATGGTGGCTATGACCAGGTGCTGTGACTTGGAGCTGTGGCTCTCAGCTGCCTCTGGTCTGAGAGCCAAGCAATGAGTTGAGAGGAGGACAACGAAGCCCACACCACATGCCAGCAGCTGGCCAAATGAGGGTCCCCACGCTGCTTGACCACCAGCAGCCACCACCCTCTCATAAGGACCCAAAGCCACAATGATGACCACGCAGCAACTTCTCCCTGCCCAGCAAAGCTCCAACACGACTCTTCCCATAGGACCCTCAGATGAGTTCCATGGTCCTTCAGCACTGCCACCGCACGCTGTGTGCCTTCTGCCCCCAAATCACAGTGCTGGCTGCAGGTGCATGGCTGCCTGCTGCACCCAGGGCAATTCCTTCTTCCTACTTGTCAATGGGACAAATAAATCCTTGCTGTCAATAATGTCTTCCCAACCCTTCGCCCCAGAGAAGGCTGCTTGCTGCCCACAGGCTGCAGGGAAGGGGGGTAGCACTAGGAAACAGCAATGCAAGATAAGACTGGGGGGCTGAGAGCAAAATGGAACAACTGCAGCAGGGAAAGCTGAACTTGAAGATAGAAAGGGAGGATGGAGGTGAGAGCATAGGAAGGTGCACCACAGAGCATGGGCAGGAGTAGATGCTGGGAAGGGAAACGGACACAGAAAACACTGTTAGGACAGGGATCCCTCTAAGACCCCCTGGGGGCTGCAGAGTTTACAGGAAGGCTAAATTCCCTCACTCCAGGGCTGCATGCTTCACAAACATCCCCTCTCACTGAAAGGAGGCCAGAAGCTTTAAAAAAAAAAAAAAGAAAAGAAAAAAAGAAAGAAATCCAAGTCAGCCCTCTGCTGGCAGCAGCCTCGGCCAGCATGGAGCCCAACAGCCTTTGGCCCTGGGGAGGGGGCTCAGCCCCTGCAGCTCTCACCCCCAGCAAGTCCATGGACATCACTTCTGCTGCCTGCCACCAGCATCACCTCTGGGATGGTGCTGTTGTATGGCATGACAACAAGGGTGTCCCAGTGGGTCCCCAGGCACAAAGCAGTGTCCCAAAGCACTGCACAGCCACAGCTCCCAGTGCAAATGCTGGGCAAGTGTAGGGACAACAGGGGCACAGCTCTAGCCCTGGCCAGAAATCCATCCACTGCCTTCTTTCGTGCCCCTACAGCATCTCCTGGGGCTTTGCTCCAGAGGGGACAGCACTGTACTGAGCATCCCTGCCATCCAGGCAGCACCCTGCCCCTTTATCCACGCTACGTATCAAATGTTTCCCCTTTCCCAGACCACACCACGAGGAGCGTGCCTGACCCTGTGCCTCCAAGCAGAGCAGCCTCAAGCAGCCCTGGCTTCGCAGCTAACAGAGGGCATGATGCTCTCAGTCTGCTTGAGGCTTTGGGAGCAGCTGCTGTCTGCTGCAGCCTTGGTTTTCAGGTTTTGAGCAAGGGAACACGCACAGCATGACCTGCACAGCACAGCCCAAAGCCCTGACACAATCCGTGTGCTCTCTGCTCATCCACCTGCACCGCTGCCATGTCTCTGAGAGCCCATGTCCTACACAGGTGATGCACCACGTACACCTGTAACTTGCCCAGGGAATGAAAAGGGATGCTGTGCTGTACTGTGCAACCTAGAAGTGGCCCATTTGCATCTAAGCCGCTCGCGTTTCTCCTCCAGCAACCCGCGTTAAGGTAAAACATCCATCAGAATTCATAAGATGCACCCCTGGAGTAAAAGATTGATTTGATATTAACAGATTCGTGCAGAGACTATCAAGTGATCGAGCCGAGGCACCGACACCTCCGAGGCATCGCAGCCCTGCAAACCGCCGGCACGGCGCGGACCCTCCTCCGCATGCAGACAACTTGCAGGCAGCGCTCAGTTGCCGTCTGCCACCTCACCCCTTTGTCAGCCCCACGTCTGGCACCCGGCAGCGGCAGGAGGGGACCACTCCGTGTGCAGCCCCCAGCCACACATCCTCCCCAAGGTGGCTGCAAACTTACAAGCCGGTCCCAGGACCGCACGGTGCACAGATTCCATTACGCACGCTGGGATCTCGCCGCACCACACCGATCCCATCACACACACAACAGCACAACGAGACCCCCCCCCCCCAACCCAAGCCGAGGCAGCAGCTCCTACCTGAGCGTGGCACTCTCCCCTTGCCGCACAGTCACGTTGTCCATAGCTTTGGGGAAGGTGGCATCTCCGCTGCGCACGGGCACTCCTGCGGGCACAAGGAAGAGCAGCCTGAGACAGAGGACGACTAGGCACCTCCAGGGCAGGGCTATGCACCCACCGACCCCCATCCTGGGCAGCAGGGACTTTTCCACCAGGCAAAAAACACACCCGACGAGGCCACCGGGAGCGAAAAGGGGGGAGAGGAGGGAGGGGGTGCGTGTGTGTGGGGACGGGGGGGAGCAAAACCACCGGGGCGGGCGCGGAGGCGAGCGATGCGGAGCTCCACGGAGATCAGGAGAGCCCCTGGAAAGGCAGCCTGCGAGCACTGAGCCTGCCGAGCGGCATCCGGAGGGAGTCCCCAGTATCCTCGGGTGAGGGAGGAGGACGGGAGGGCCGGGGGGAGGAGGAAGAGAAGGAGAGGAGGTTCGGAGCAAGAGATGAAGGTCACAGAGCTGTGTCTGCTCGAGACGCTACTTTAAGATTCAGTTGGGCACGCGCTGCGGAGAGCTGGCATCAAAAGTTTATAACCCAAGGAGGAAACGTAAGTGTCTCTGGCAGGAAAGGGAGGGCGGCCATAAAAGCAGGCTGGGGGAGCAGAGCGGGCTCGGAGTTGGGTCGCTGGCTGGCTGCTGTTCTTTTTGCTTTTTAAAGAAGAGAGGGAAAAGGAAAACAGAGAAGACAGAAAAAAAAAAAAAAAAAAAAAAAAAGCCCCAAAAAAAAACAAAGCTCCCCAAATGCCGATTCTGTCGCAAGATCGAAACTTCCCCGTGGAGCTGCAGGCGATGTCCGGACGCGGCGCTCCTCGGTGCCGGGTGCAGGAGGTGGCTGCGGGTTGGGGCTGCAGCAGGAGCTGCTCTCAGCACAGCAGTGGGGCAGACGGGGTGCAGAAGGGCGGCAGCATCCCAGCCCCGGCGGCACGGCTGCTCGGGAGCATCCCTGCGCGGCACGCAGGCTGTCTGCCCGGGGTTGTCATGGCAGCGGCTCCATCACTGACCGGCACTTTGGCTCCCGCACGCTCACAGCACCGCACACCAGCAAAGGACGGCCGCTTGCAGCCCCGCGCCCTGCGTTAACCCTTGCAGCCCCTTGCTGCAGAGAAGGCTTTAATCATGCAACACACGGTGCGCACCGCCGCGCGCTCGCAATGCAGCCCCCGAGGAGAGGCGGGATGCTGGCTGCCCTGCCCACCCGGCCACACCTCGCTGCTTCTTTCCCTGCATCCACCTGTTGATGCTTCCCCGATGCGCGCAGAGCGGGGATCGCATTCTCTCCTCTGTCTGTGCAGCAGAGAGGCTGGAAGGATGCTCGTGGTTAGGGCAGGGGGATGTGGTGTCCTCTCACTGCGGGTGTGCCCCAGAGGACTGTGTAAGATGCAAAGGAGCTCCAGGGCATCCCATGCTCTGTCCCTGCCATCCTCACGCCTGCTCTGCCCTGACACTGCAGTGGGAAGCTCTTGGGTTCACCGCTCCCACCAGAGCAGCCCCCGACACCAGCAATAAATAAATGCCTTGCTCTTCAGAGACCACCCCAAACCTCCATTCAGCTGCTCCAAGAGCAAAGGGGCGCACCAAGACCTCACAGATCACCCAGACACATACCTGTGCCTACAGACAAAACTCAGTGCCACGCTGCTGCTCCCCACACCATGCTGTACAACTGCCTGTGCCCTCACCAACAGGACAGCATGTTTGGATGCCGTCCCCCAAAAGGGCATCTTCTGCTGAATGCCTCTTGGGAAAGGGGCTAGAGGAAGAATGGAAAGGCCTATGAAAGGGTTTTCACAAATTCGTGGCCCCAGCCTAGTCCAGAGACCCACACATGGCTACTAAAACTGATGGAGATCTGCAAAGGTTTTGCATTGCTCCCGAGACCGATTATGAGCAGAGCACAGTGGCAGTGAGACGCAGTGACCCTAAATACATCCCTAGCCACAGGCTAGCGCTGCAGAGCTGCGCGCTGGCTCCCGGCACTAGCTATGGCTGCAGGCACCGGAGGGATGCTCACTGCAGCTTGGATAAATAGGGCAGTGAGGGAAGCTCGGAGAAAAGCAGGGCTGAGTTTGCCATTGGAAAGTTAGCTTAACCCTGAACAGGCAGCCAGCAGCAGGCAGGCATCCTCTGGGGGGAAAGACGGGGATGAAGGACACCCCATCTCCTGCCCTATCTGCTCACACAGCACAGAAGAAGCAAAGCTGAAGCAGGGAAGGAGCAGCAGAGGGAAAGGAGTCAGCACAAACCCACTGCAGCTCCCCACCCATCGGAGAACCCAAGCCCAAGCACTGCTGAGCCTCCTCCAGCTCTGGGAGCAGCTCCAGGGGCAGGATACTGCAAGGACCAGATGCTCCACTGGGGAAATGTTGTTTATCCCTTGGGACAGGAAGCTGTAGGCGAGGAGTGCGCATAGCAGTGAGCCTGCCAGAGACAGTGCGATTCAGGAAAGGAGAGACAGAAAGGGGAAGAAGGCTGGCTGCCTCCGAATGAGACTCTGAGGAGGCTGGAGAGACGTGGTTACAAGAACAGATGCATAGGTAGGGCGTAAATGGATAGATGGATAGCTGAAGTGGCTGCTGCAGACAGCTGGGCACAGGTGAGCATATATGGGGCATTAGGGAGGGGAAAGGGGGCTGGAAAGAGAGTGCTCTGCATATTTATGTAACAGAAACCTACCTAAATGGGTACGGACCCAACAGCCTGGAACAGCTCTGCAGGAGGCTGCAGGCAACACGCCTCAACCATGCTCACCCCCGAGGCCACTCTGAGCTCGGAGATACAAGGAGGAAAGCAATGTTTCAAATGTTTCAATGCAGCCAAGCTCCCCTACTCCTCAGTGGCCCCAATGAGATGCTTGTGCCTGGGAAGGGAAAAGACAGCAGCAAGGGGGGATGGTTGAGACAGAAACACCTGCATGCTCCTCTGGGTATCAACGGAGTGACATCCCACTGCCAGCTGCACACCATCATGGTCCCTTTGCTGCTTTGCCATATGTCTCCCCCCACAGCAGCTCCCACTGTGGGGCTGCATAGTGATGCTCCATGCCATGAGCATCACCCCAAAGCAATGCAAACAGCTGGAGCCTCTCCTGCTTCATCTTCTAGGCTGCCCCATCACTGTCACCACCACTGAACAGAGGGAGCAAGCTGGCACATGGGGGAGAAAAGGGCGAGGGAGAGAAAGTTCAAAATGCAGGAGGCTGCAAAAATGCAATCCTGACACCAAGTGAGAAGGCAGAAAAGCAGGGCTGGGCTGTGCCCAGACGTCTGCAGACCGTGGGTCGTATGGGGTGCTCTGCAGGTGGCTTCAGCTCAGGTCCATGTCCAATAATACCGTGCAGCTGAGAGGGACTCGGAGGCTGGCACGAGCCCTGGGGGCAGCAGGCATATGGCAGCGGCGGATGCTGCTCCTCACGGTGACGTTAACAAGCCCTGACCTTCTCTCATCATCCCAGAGGCTCAGAAAGAAACCGAGACTGCAAGGACAAGTCCCTCCACCTCCCTCGCTGCCTTCCCAGCCGGTTGTCAATCTCTGCTTTTATTAGTGGCGCAGTTTGGCCTCTATCTCCCTTGGAGATTTCTCCCTCGTTGCTCTAATCAGGAGCTTGCAAATGTCAAGAGTACGGGCCTGGAAGTAATTAGTGAAGGACCGGAGCCCGGGGGCCATGAGCCGCTCAGCAGCAGCGCTGCTCCGCACCGGGGAGCAGCCCAAGGGCTCCAGGACCCACTCACTGACTTTCTTCTCCAACCTCACATTATTCTCCTCTGCTCCAACAGAGAGAAGCGCAGAGGAGCTGTGTGCGCAGCTGGGAGTGAGCAGAGCTTCACAATGCAGTAAGGGATGAGCCACCCAACGGCACCACAACCCAATGGCATTTGGCCACCAAGCATCACCTCTGTGCGCGCAGGCACTGCCTCACCCAGAGGAGCCAGAAGAGCCCCAAGGATTACTGCTAGCTCCTTGCAGATGTTCACAACCCACATCCTACCCAGGAGCACAACCCATGGGCTTCCCCTGCCCCAACCTGGACACAACATCCTACCCTTGACACAATGGCAGCAGCAAGGTTCTCCCCACCTTGGGCAGCAACTCCTGCCTATGCTGTGCACAGCCAAAGAGGAAAAGCCCTCACCATGCAGAGAAAACCACAGATCTTCCTGCGAAACAGCTTCCTTTGTGTTGCTCCAAGTCTCCGAGCCATTCTGCCTCATGCACAAGGAAATGGGGTTAAAGCTTCACCCAGGAAAGCAGAAGCCTCACAAAGCAGCAGGGAGCCCCAGGAGGAGGGTAGAACACCAGGTATTTAATCAAAGCTCCAAGCTCTGCTCGCAGGGGTTCACCCCAGTGCTGGGGGAAGCAGAAGTTCTCCAGCACTCCCTCTGGAAGCCCCAGAGCTTGTTCAAAGCAGCACTGCTGCAGTCCCTGCCCGCAGACAGCTGAAGCCAGGCTCCTTTCACATCTCGCTCTGCTGGGGCATGGGAAATTTCTCACCTTGAGCTGCACAGGCACACCAGATGGCCACAGCACACAGCTCAGCCCCACAGCAGATAGGCAGAGCTGCTCAATGTTGGCATGCCACATACAGGAGGCATCTGGGTGCGGGGCTACGGGATTCCTAACCACAACCTTTCTGCACTATTATCCCCTCCTCCCTTTCTTCCACCTCCTCCTTCTCTCCCTCCTTCTCTCCATCTGTCCCTATCCCCCTTTCTTCCCCATCTTTTCTCCTTGCACGCTTGCAGCTGCTAATTTTTACCCAGCATATTTGGCAACTCAGCCCAACACCTCTTCCCCCACACCTCGCCCTGCTTCGTGCTTTTCCTTTATTCTTATTTCTTCACCCCAAAGCGAGAGCACTCCCTACCTATCGCCTGGGAGATCCCAAGGGCAGATGTGCTTACAGCAACAGAACCACCAGAATTAGGTAAATCCAACCTCTGAACGCACAGCATCCTTCTGCACTGCAAACAACACCAGCCAAGCAACTCTCTTCCCCATGGAAAACGCTCTTCCAGGATGAAAGCCTTCCTGAAGCCATCCACAGCTGGTCCAGTGC